CCCCCCCACCCCCTGTATTTCGTTTTTCTGTGAACTAACCTCTGTATGGTCTCACCTCATTTGTGTGTACATGACTGACACATTTGGCTCAAGACTGAGAAAAGCCGTTTGCTTTCACTGCGCGACTGCATTCGACTCGTGTCCAAGCATTGTCCGTTGGCCCTCTAGAGACCGTGTCCTTTCCAAGGGAAATCCACTGCATTGCGCTTCATGTCACCCCCCACCCCACCCAACACTGCTCCTACCCTCCACTCTGTTCAGCCATATGCTGTTGATACAAATTCATTCATATATGAATGAATGAATGTAAGATCCCTTTGCATCCACATGGAACGTTATTATCTTGGCCATGGTTCCCCCCCACCCCCCCCACCCCACACTCCTCCTGCCGTCCACCACAAACTCTTACTTGAGTGAATGTAAAAGCCCTTTGCACCCACATGGAACGCTATTATCTTGGCAATGGTTCCTGCCCCCCACCACCCCAATTCCAACCATCGTCTGGCTTAGTTTCTGAACAGTCTAACTTGGTTTCTGAATCGACTGTTTTGGTTTCTGAATCGGCCGTTTTGGTTTCTGAATCGGCTGTTTTGGTTTCTGAATCGGCTCTTTTGGTTGCTGAGTCGGCTCTTTTGGTTTCTGAATCGTAGTTGGTGAATCGCCTGGTTTGGTTTCTGAATCGGCCGACTTGATTTCTGAATCGGCTGTTTTGGTTTCTGAATCGGCTGTTTTGGTTTCTGAATCGGCCGACTTGATTTCTGAATCGGCTGTTTTGGTTTCTGAATCGGCTGTTTTGGTTTCTGAATCGGGACCCGCTTGGTTTCTGAATCGGCCCGCTTGGTTTCTGAATCGGCCCATTTGGTTTCCGAATCGGCCGACTTGGTTTCTGAACCGGCTCATTTGGTTCCTGAATCGGACCATTTGGTTTCTGAATCGGACTGTTTTGGTTTCTGAATCGTAGTTGCTGAATCGGCCATTTTGGTTTCTGAATCGTAGTTTCTGAGTCGGCTGTTTTGGTCTCTGAATCGGCTGTTTTGGTTTCTGAATCGGCCGACTTGATTTCTGAATCGGCTGTTTTGGTTTCTGAATTGAAGACGATTTCATTTCATTTGGTGTTGATTTCATTGCATTCGAGGGTTGGATGATGAAAGATTATTTTCAGAGAGTGTGTTTTTGTTTAAGGTTTGAGGTTGTTGGGGTGTTGGGGCTTTGACTGGGAGCGCCCTGCCATCCTCCTGGCTCAAACCAGTGGTTTGCTCAACACTTCGCGCCCACCACCTGCTCCCACCTCAGAGATTCTCAGTGTTTTTCCCTTGAAGCCAGTCAGAGATGCACGTTTGAGTCCTAAGCATCTGCCAAGCTAAGATATCTAGATGAGATCTTTTCAGATCAGAATCAAAACCCAAATTGAACTCCAGAGAGTTCAGCACAGCTGCTGTTACAGCAGTCCAAAACCCAAAGGTCTTATACCAGCCTCACGCACGTGTTTGGTGCGAGAGACTGACCTGCAAAGTTCTCATTGAACATATACAGTGCTTTTCTTGGTGAGATTTCGTTTTCAACCTCCACAAACCCCAAGCGCCACATTCGCTTCAATGTGCGAGAAGCCATCAGGACCTCAGATTCTTCCAGCCTTATTATATCTTTCTAAGAAACATATGCATATCATATTCCACACTGAAACTATGAGACACATGATGATATTTTACTTGAAGGCCAAAGAACGGAATCAGGAAACGCTGATGCGATGTTTGAGCTCTTGAAATTGGCACCTAGAGGAGCCCACGTCATGGTCAGCCCCTTCTCTTTCCGCTTGATATCGAAGCCATATGAAGTGTCATCACCTGGGTAAATCTCTCCAATTCTATCATCTCTTGCGTTTGTTTTGCAGTTTGTTTTGTTCCTACTCTTTGTCACCACTGTTTGTAGTTCTCTTCCTCAATTTCTTGGTATGAGGAAACCCACTAAACACTCCAAATTAGGATTAGGCACCCTCTGCCATTGGACTCAATCGAACTACCTCATGCGAGTTGATGGTCGCATCCACAATACCTGCCTCTTCAAATTCAATGAGTAAGGAGCGAACAGTGCTCGGGGCACTGTCCTTCATGCTCTTGGAATTCTCAGCCTGAATCTCAAGAATGCACATCTCCTTGTCACTCTTAAGCTCGAAGACGCAAGAGTGGTCGAGGGCCAATCCTGCTTCAGACCACCAGCTAGCTATTTAAAAAAAAAACATTCAGAGCTGTTGTAAAGTGGAGAGACGTGCAGAGACCAATGCCTTTCAGTCAAACTGTTTCCTGTTTTTTCTCGCTTCTCCCATTGTGCCCACCACCTTTCTAGTGATGTCTAAGCCAATTGGAAATCCAACTGGCAAATCATAAGATGGTTTGACGAAGTAATGACAAACATGGACGCTGAGTGCCTCCCCATCCATGAACAGAGGGCGTGCGCAACACATACTGAACCACACAGAGAACATAACAGAGAACATCATAGAATCCACTATACAATGAATCTATCAAGAGAACATCAAGAACATCAAGAACAATACACAGTAAATATGAGATGTTGCAGCCACACTGGACCAACCATCACACTCAGCGATCACTTCTGCGCAACTAACCTGCGTCTGGATTTCTCTGAATTTGACATTTTGTTCCAGGCATCCACTCGAATTGGGTGATTCTTCCACCTAGGTGTCAGGGAGGTGTTTTAAGGGTTTGTCACCATTTTGGTCGAACAAATAAAGCAAACCCATACTTTGAGCATAAATGCATGCACACCTGTTTGTGTATAAGGCCCAGACGATTCACGGGCCATGCGCAGAGCCTCACTTGCAGACTTCCCCTCCTTCTTCAAGCGGTCGGTCTCATCCCTAATGCGACGAGTCATTGCGTCTCGCAAGCTGTGGTCTCCAGCAGGAATGGAGCCCTGCCACAGAAACCAACAGTATGAGATAGCAGCAAGTTGAGCAAAACCAATGAGTGAATATAAAACAGAACTCAACAGATCCTAGCCTTTTCATTGATCTCAGGGCCGTTCTTGGGGTCATTGCCGTTTGATCCCTTCGACGTTGGTGCACGCTTCCCCGGCTTGCCCTTGGCGTTCTTCTTGCCCTTGGCGGTTTGGCCTTGAGTTGATTTGCTCTCCTTCGTCGCCGAGAGCTTTCTCTTAGGCCCCCTCTGAGAACCTGAACCCTCATCCTTCTTCTTTGGCTCTGTCTCATCCTGCTTGGAGCTCTTGGCTTTGGCCTTGGCCTTGGGAGCATTCCTCCTAGCTCTCTTTTGAGGTGACTGTCCACGGGCCAAGGTCGGAGCTTCCAGGCTGTTTTCAGACAGTGCCTCTTCAGAATCTAGGATATCCTCATCATCCCCCAATTCTTCATAGATCTGGTCCACATCCTCTTGAATGTCTTCGGTCTTTGGGTCAGCAGGCTTGCGGCCTCTCCCTCGCCCTTTTCCTCGTCCACGACCAGGGCAGGCCTTTGGTTCTCCGGTTGCCCTTGTAGCTTGTAGCTGTTTTACAGCTTGACTTTGCATTCTTCCTGTCGTTCTTCATTCTGAGTTTGGCCTCCTGGATCTCTTTCTCCATGCATGTCCTCCCATCCTCCGTGAGAGCTGGATCACCATGCTTTTGATGGGACTGGCATGGAAGGTTCTGACTCTGTGTAACCACGGTAGCACTCGGTTTCACCTGTTCCATGTCAAGCCTTTTGGAAATGCCATCACCAGCAGCCTGACCACCACCTGGAGCAGCAAGCTGCTTGGTTGTGCTGGGAGTGTCCAACAGGACGGCGTTCTCTCTCACTGGTGGTGTTTGCAAGTTGCCTGGACTGTCCTGGACCATTCTCTCCATGTCCTCAGGGAATCCAGGTGTGTAGGCTGAAAGTGGTACCAGGTTCAAAATCACAACGCATACTGTACACCCACCATGTGTATTGATAATTAGGTATTCTCTTGTTGCCCATTAATGCGCCTATTTTAAGTTGAATCATGAGGATAGTTCTATGTTAAATACTGTACGACAACATATTTTACCATCACACCAGTCCAATTTCATTCCATGCTGTTGCAATAGCTGCTCCAAGGCTGTACTCATGGCTCGATGCCACCGGAAGCTTCAAGAGGCACGGAGGCACAGTACCAGACACACGGCTTGAGTGAAAAGGGAACAAAAAGGGCCAGGCCTAAAGAAGTAAGTGATAAGAAGGGCAAGTGATCTCAGACCAGTATTGTTTGACTTTCAGCCCAGCACAAGTTAGTAAACAGTTTTCACGGTGTGGCCTTCACCCTGGCGAAGCAGCTTGGCCACCTTCTCCTGACCCAGCCAGGAGGACTTTCCATGGCATATCACTGCCTCTTCACTGCTGAGCGTCATCTGCATGTGCGCCACCTCGAGCATACTGCCAGGCTATCAGGTTCATTGTTTGTTAGGGATACAGTAGATATCCAAGTAGGGGGCTATTAGCTGTTATTCTTTCAGTGGCACCTGGAACGAACAAAAGGATGTAAGATACATCTGAGCCACAAAGTAGAGTTTATACTTCTGCCCTTCCAGCAGGTTGACGTGTTCCCCAGAACGGTTGACTGCACGAACCAAGTATAGCATACCTCCAGGACTTGCTGCGCAAATCTTTGTCTCGACCACATACTGATCCAAGAGCTCTTCTAGTGTTGCTGGCTCATTGGTCCATGGCTCAATGACAGTTTGCTCTGCAGGTACGATCTCCTCCGTGACCATGGTGGCTGCAACATTGAACCTGGACAAGGACAGCGGTGGAGTGCTGGTTGGACCAGTACCCATTCTAGTTGCTGCAAGGTCCCAGTCCTTAAAAATGGTAATTTATGACCAGGGTGCAACACATTTTCTAACATGAGTTTAGAAACTTGGCGTCAAAGTCATTGATGAGAGTCTTCCACTCTTCCACATGGATGGCATCCTTGCTGTACATAGCACGAACTGCTGGTGGCAAGCTGAAAGTCAGCTGGGCAGAGCCTTTCTTGGAAGGATCATAACTCACCTGGACAAGCCGCATGGGGTAGTTGCCAAGTTCCAAGCTTGTTTGCGGAGGTGGAGTCACATAATTTTTGGGATAGTGCTCAAAGAGGGTGGATCCAGACTTCCACTCCTGGCCCAGGATGCACAAGTTACACTTGAGTTTGGTATCTGGTATTTAAATAGTTGTTTGGGGGATGTTTCACCTCGAGGCTTGTTACCACTGGGTGTGGGTGATGATATCCAACACTCTTTCATCAAGCTTGTCCTGCAAGAGTTTCTGTGCAAGAACCCGCTCACTGAACATCACTGAATCAGTTTGGTCACTGGTCGAGAAGCTCCGCAGCTGCATTGCTGCCCTTCCATGATCACGTTGCCAGTGGACACAGACTTGCTCAACATAGGAGTCATAAGGAGTAAGGTTGACCAGACCAACCAAATTCCCTGGAGTAGTGACTCCATTGAGGAGGGCCTCCAACACTGTGGATGGCATTGCCAAGCCCGCGAGCAACTGGGCTGCTTCTTGTACATCACTCAATGACCTGAGCAAGGGCAGGGGGCAGGGTTGAAGACACAATGAAACATCCAAGTTGAGTTCACCCAATTTTGAGGCATTATGTTCAGAGGCATTTTTGGGGAGGGGGCTGTGCTTCAAAGCCACCGAGCTCCCTCAGCTGCACTTGGAACAGCATCCTTGGAAGTGGGGACCAAGTACTCCGACTCTGCAGCAAAGTTGACAGAGACACGGGTCGTCCTATCACAAAAACTACTGTAAGGGAGACTCTTACCCTAGTCTTAGTTCAGACTATTGAATTAGTGCCTGGACCCAAGTGGACGTCCATGGTTCTTGTATGGGGTTTGGAACAGAGATCTATTTAAAACTGTTCAGGTGCAGTCCTGTCTTGTACCAACATGCAGCCTGCGAAGATATTGTTGGGATCTTCCATGAAACCATCCAAGAAGACACACCATGCTGGCCACTGCATAGGGCATTTCTTGCTCGCTGGGGGTGGTGCGCTGCGAACAGAGACTGGAATCGATGCCAACCCTTTGCCATCAAACTTGTCCTCGATCCTCCTGGAACCAGGTCCACAAAAAATACACATAGATATTGAACAGCAGTTGGATGACTTATGATAGATTATATTATATTATATTATATTATATTATATTATATTATATTATGTTTACTAGTTCTCAAAGTCATGTTTAGTAATTTACATACATCACCTCATGTCATTACTTGGTGCTTGTCAAAAGATGAACATTTCCACTAAACCTTTTTGAAACATCCCATTCCTGATCTCCCCTCGCAAGGAACCATTCAGTGTTCTGCTGCTGGTCAAATACGGTGCCACCACGAATGCCATTGTGTGGGACGGTTTCCGACTCAAGATCTTCTTCAAGCGGCTGGCAACGTCATCCAATTGCTTAGATTGGACTCTGCCTAGCTTCATCATGTCGACCCAAACAACCACCCCGCCATTCGAAGAGCAGATCTCAGTGAGGAACTGGCAGGGTGCAAAGACATACTTGAACAACCATACTTGAACAGCCCATAACATGGAACATGCTTTAAACCATACCATGCAATTGGATTTAATACCCAGCCCAGCCTGGGAAAGCTTATGCTCAGCATCTGGAGTTGCAAGGGTCACATGGACGCAGTTCTTGGCAGAAAACTGACTGACTACCTGAGCACCAATTTGGTTTTGCTCCTTGATGGCAGTGACCTTGGCAAGTCTATCTGTTCGCTCATTGGAAGAGACTTTCTGCAGCAACTTTGCAGCCATAGATGTGTCCTTGGCCAATTTGAGGGTGTCAGATTCCCATTGAGCCTTGGATGTGTTGGCATCAATCTCGATGATCTTTTGATCTACCAAGCCCATGGCAACATCATTCTGTTTGTCTTGCTCCTGTGCAGGGCTAAACTCCTGCCACATAGAGGTCTGGCACGGCTCGAATGCAGGATCTGCAGAGGCCAGAGTCACTTGCAAGTCGTCCATGAAATCCCTGAGTTGAGACTGTTCAAACTTCTGAATTGAACTTAGATGAAGACCAAATAATTGAGAACGTCAAGGCAGGACCTTGCAAAATAGAGTAAAACTTCGCCAAATCTATTGGAGTGTCCCCTCAATGAACCTCCCTCGAAGTTTCTTGACATCATCCTTCTTGAAGAGCTGGCTGCCATCATCCTTCTTCATAATGTTCATGGCTTCCATGATGTACGATGCCAGACAGCATTGGTCAATCTCTTGATGCCATCGCTCTTGACTCAAGCGAATCGTGGAGGTTGACTGGGGCGAAGATCTTGAAATGGCCAAATCATGAAGAAAGAAAACTCGATCCAAGAATAGAGTTTGTTTCTCCTGGGTCATCTCCAGAATCTGGTAAAAGACACCGTCAGCACCAGGAGTATTGGACCCCAAAAGCCAGCGTTCAGTGAGAAGGTGCTCACGGCCAAAGGCTGCAGGGACCAGGAATCAATTCAAATGAGCTGGTCTGAGATTCAGTCAGGGGTCACTACACTTTCTTTCAGTATTCAAGGACTTTGTTCGCCCTCCTCGCCTGAGCGCTCGATGCGATACACGTGCAAATGCCGCTCGATCATCGCCCAGTTCTGAGGTGCAAGGCCCACCTGGTTTCAGGAATAGTGTGCCACAAATTCTATTCCATGCAGGCTAGGTGTTGAAAGAGTGGTTCTTTCTATTTTTAGCCTATGTTGTACTTCTTTTGAAACACAATGCACCCCCCAAAACATGGTCCTTCAGTCCATAGAGCTTCAAGGCCATGGTGTTCTCTATCCTCAGCTTCCTGTTGCTAACTGCAGTGCCAAAAGCGTTGTACTCCTCACAGGCTTTCAAGAAGGCCTCTTTGTAGACGATCTCTGGGTTTTCTGCCTGTGAAGGCAAAAAAAGTCAATGTTCACTGTCTTTGGGGTCAAGGTTTGGTTTGAGAACAATAGTTTTTCAATACAAACCTGTATACAAACCATAAAACATCATGAATTGATTACTAAACAATGTTCTTTAAGTAAGTCAAACAGTTTGTGGGCCTGCATTGCCAAAGCCCGTGCATGAAAGACTGCAGTCTTCTGAAGAGCGTTGCGTTGCTGCTTGAGAGCTGCCTGCTCATTTTGCTGCATCCTGCGAAAGAGGTAGTGCTCTGGACGTTCCAAGCAAATGTAGATCACATTGATGGTAGCTGCAGTCCTCAACCACTTGTGCCAGCCAAGGCATTGCTGGTCTATTGTCATTGTGGTTTATGGAGGAGTGATGTGAGATCCTTGGGACTGGGTGGGGACTGTGTTCTCAAGAAGGCTTTCTAGCTGACACCAAGACTCTTACTATAAATATTGAGCAGTCAATCTTTTGTGGTCATGGTTGGTTGATGTCAACAGCACCCTCAAAAATGACACCGCATAAGTCACTGGATCATTCTACAGATTGGGATGTAGTCATCTTGAGTGCACCCTCCATTTGACCATGCTAAGTGCATCTGCCTTACACATGGAAACAAATCACACTGCATGCGCAGGAGCAGTTGCAGCAAGAGTGCATTTCTGTTTGCCTGGGCCCTCAGGTTGCTACGGCTCAGTGTTACTAGACAATCCTTTCACCCCTGCACGGTTTAGACCAGAGTAGGCAATACTGATTCTCTTAGTTGCTCTGTTTTTTCACATTATATAATAATTACTTTTTTTTTGCAGAATGGGGCAATGGTTTTTGGTGAAACCCTGACCCCCACACAGTCGAGCTCCAGAGTAGGCAAAACTGG